TGGAGGCTGTGATTAATCCCTAAGGCAATAAATGTCCTAGGGGACATGTATGAGCCTGGTTGGCCTATTAAGTGTGAAGTTTGCAGTGAGTCCCAAAGGATCTGAGGAGATCTGCTGGCCCATGAAGCTTGCTTTAGGGCCCTGGGACAGCCTCCCTTCCCAAATTTTATTAAGAGCATCAAGGCATGGCAGGATAGAGCAGAGGCGATGCGTAGTGTGGCGGTGCATCCCCTACCAAAAGGCGCCGTTGACACTGTTGGCAACACCTGCAGGTGGTTGCCGCTTCCCAACCTTGCTGCCAACACTGCCGGCAGCATCTGTGGGAAGTCTGTGATCCCTGCTGGCCACCGCTGATGCTGCTGGCGGTGTCTGCGGGTGGTTGCCAACCTCTGGTCAGCACTTGCTCCCCTTCACCCCCCACCCCGAACTCCACCGCTGACAATGCTGGCGGCATCTGTGGGAGCTCCCCTGCTTACCACCGCCAGGCTTCTGCCACCACCGTGCCCTGCCAAGTGCCAAGGTCACATGTCATTCATGGGCAAGGGTAGATGGGGGTATCTAAAGCCACATCAGAAGAGGAGCAGAGAGTGACCATGAAGGGGGTAGCACAGCCGCTGCTGAGGCACCTATCCTGTTACATCATGTCACCATAACTTCATTGATACTTGATTCCAAGATAAATTAAAGCTAGCTTTTGTGTGTACAACGAGGATATACCCTGAAAGATGGAGGAATTCAGGAAGATATTTTCAAAAATATATAGGCATACAAGATTGTTAGCAGTATTTACAATATCACCTATGCAATTTAAATGTGTACAGCTCCCACTACCAATCCTACTAAATGGCTATCTGAATTAACTGCCAACCTGTCTTGAAAATCTACCTCCTAACCCCCTTAACCTACATCAATGCTCTTCCACCTCCAGCACGGTGTTCACCCTCATTGATTTGGAGCATCCATGCATTCCTTCACAAAGAGGCTTCTTCCATAGCTCCTCACTAGAGACCCACACACAAATCCCCCTCTCAGACGCACTCTGACTCTACACTTAACAAGACCCAAAGCTCCCAATTTAGATCATGGCCTCATTCTGCCAGATGCTTCACAAACACGGGAAGAGACCTTCCCTGCATCAAGCTGAGATCAGAGCCTCCCTGTACTGGGTGCTGCATAGAGACATATGAGACTGCCCATAAAGAGCACTGTACGCTGGCAAAGGATGAAAGGCACAGAAAGGGAGGGGTGTGATTTACATTAAGTCATGAAGGAGGTCAAGAGCTGTACTTCCTCTTCCTAGCCCCGACACTAACTCTTACTCAAATTGTCCTAGCTCACTTGGCTCGGGCTTCATTGGAGGGTGGCTCCTTTGCGTGCACACAGAGCCTCTAGCGCGGTGGAGAGAATGGCAGCCCCGTGTGTGGGTGGGAGAAGTACACAGAAGTGTAAGCTGTGAGATCTTGGTATGGGGTTGCAGGGCATCCTGACACACAGGGGGATGGAAGGATGGAAGAGGCCCCTGGCATGTCATACTCATTCATGCTACAAAAGCAATAATGTGTGGGACTCTGTTTTTTATCTAGTGGATAACTTAAGTACTTACCATATGTACATTTTCCACATACCTGTGCTCTTTCTTTTTATTTTTTCATTCCCAATGCTTTTCGCCCTACTGCCCAACAAAAAAATGACACGGACCACATAGATAAAATGACAGAGAGCAGAAGCAGGGCAAAGGTGGCTCATTTATTCTATGATATGGGCAAACTAGTTGCGGTTTTTATTTAATCAGTAAATATGAGCGGAGATAATTTTCAGTTTTATGTTTCTGCCAAAAGATGGCAGTAAGAGCAGCTATGTTTGCTAAGCCTGCAGCTGAAGTGGATCGGAGGTAGACCTGCTTTCCCAAAGTACAGAGCAGTGATTCTCAACCAGGGTGCCCTGAGAACCTTTCAAGGCTGCCACACAGAGTTAGGCATATTAGGTGTGCAAATATGATTGCAAAATAAACGCAGAGATCTTAAATCTTGAATCCATAATGTCATAACACCCTGACCCATTACTGTCTTTCTGAATTCTTTGCAATTGAGAATTGCTCTATTATTTTTCTATAGTAAAAAAGTGAGTGAAAACTAAGTGCTAACATTTTCAGAGGGACATCACAAGTCTGTCATGGGGTGCCTTGAGTGCAGAAAAAATTGGACAAGTCTGTTATACTAGTTTAAATCTGTCTGGAATGGTTCAAAAGTGGACCTGGAAAATAAGGCAGACAAGGTTCTTTGGTAGGTGTGATATCTTCTATTAGACCAACTAAACAGTTCATAGATTTCATAGACATTAGGGCTGGAAGGGACCTTGGGAGATCATCGAGTTCAGTCCCCAGCCCTAAGGGCAGGAAGTCAGCTAGGGTCAAAGGATCCCAGCAAGATAAGCATCCAAATGTTTCTTAAGAGTCCAGAGTAGGTGCTTGCACCACCTCAGGAGGGAGTCTATTCCAGGCCTTGGGGGCTCGAACAGTAAAGAAGTTTTTCCTTATGTCCAGCCTGAAACGGTCTTGGAGGAGTTTGTGACCATTGGACCTTGTCATCCCTTGGGGCGCTCTGGTGAACAGGCATTCCTCCAGATCCTGATGTACACCCCTTATGTACTTACAGGCAGCCACTAGGTCCCCCCGAGCCTGTACTTTTCCAGGCTGAAAAGTCTCATGGCTCTCAGGCTCTCATCATAAGGCCTGTTCTCCTGCCCTCTGATCATGCGCGTGGCTCTCCTCTGGACTCTCTCAAGCTTCTCCACATCCTTTTAAAATTGTGGAGCCCAGATTTCATGCAGTCCTCCAGCTGCAGCCTCACCAAGGCTGAGTACAGCGGGAGGACGACATCCTGAGTTTTACTTGAGAAGCATCTATGGATGCAAGCCAGAGTTTTGTTTGCTTTACCAGCTGTGACATTGCATTGGTGGATCATGTTCATCTTGTGGTTAATCATGACCCCCAAGTCCCTTTTGGCCGTGGTGCTAGTGAGCGTAACACTGCTGAGCCTATAAGTGTGATGCGGGTTTTTTCTCCCGAGGTGGAGTACCTTGCATTTTTCTGTATTAAATGTCATCAGGTTTTTATCCGCCCATTTTCTAAGCTTGTCAAGGTCGGCCTGGATCACCAGCCTATCCTCTGGTGTAGACGCTTTACCCCAAAGTTTGGTGTCATTGGTGAACTTGGCTAGTCCACTTCTGAGACAGTTGGAATTGGAAAAATGTTCTTTGCAAGTTTTCAAGCCCAAACACGCATCTTCAGGCATAGGAAGAGTCTGTTGGTGATTTGTGAGACTCTTCCTATGCCAGAAGAGGGGTGTTTGTGCTCGGAAACTTGCAAAGAACATTTTTCCCAATTATTTAGTTGGTGTAACAAAAGATATCACACTTACCCAAAGAACCTTGTTGGCCTATGGCTGTAGACCAACATGGTGACAACCACCCTGGAAAATAAAGTACTCTTGAACCAGTTCCCTGTGAACGGGATCAGTGATGCACTGACACCAAATGTTCCCTGCAGTGGGTCTGGCCAGTCCTCTGGGCATCTCCTATGGCATTGCTTCTCCCCCATTCTACTGTAGGGGCGCTTACAGAAGTTATTGATCATGCTCTAACTTTAAGCACTTTACACAAAGCATTTAAAGTTACAGTGTCATGGAAAGTCAACAGATGTTCAGTGTTTGGTGGGGGCTCTGAGCCTCCATGCACTGGCTGAGGCCAGGAGGCAGGCAGCTCTGTAACCTGCTCTGGGAGGTTGATAGCGGGGCCAGCTGGTGTCTCTGGGCTTGGTTCCCTGCCCGCCTGAGGCACCAGCAGCTGGTTGGGCTCCCAGAGTCTGTTTCAGGGAAAGGACTTGTTGAGCGATGCCATCAGGCACTGGGGACCCTCTCCCTGGGGGTGCGGATGCTGGCCAGGCCCTCCCGGGGCTGTGCTCTTCCCTTCCTTCTATGGTGGCACAAGGAGGAGACTCTACCTCCTCCCTGTGGCAAACCAGGGGCGTGACATGTAACCCTGGCAGCAATAAAAGTTCCCTATGGCAGTCTAATTTAGAATCCCTTCACTCATTACCTGATTGAAAAAGTTACTTTTCCATGCAATTGGCCATTTTAAAAGCACTCTGCAGCTGTGCATGTGCATTATGACATAGCTGTAGAGCACTTTCAGGTGCCAGACTGCATGAAAACGTTACTTCTCTCTACACATTAACTGGCCGCTCTGGTATATGACCAGAACTCGATCGCCGTTCCCCAACACACTTTTGCTGACACTTGTTATCAATGAGCTCCCTTGCACTGTTTATTCAGTAAAATCTGTCTTTCTAACAACCAGCTGTGTTCTCACTGCTTAAAACTCCATCCCTTCATCACTCCCCTCTCCCCCCGCCAGTCTCTGGGAACCCAAAAGTATGTTTCCAAACACGTACATGCATGCACCCAAGTCAGGCAAGCACACTGCAGAGTTTGGCCAAGTGCAGGCTACTGACCCTTACTGGACTCATATTTAGGAGAGAAGGGAAAGCAAAAAAATGAAAATGCCTCCAGTGACAGGTGACCTATCCCTGAAACTCCCAATGCATGAGTGCAAACACTCCCTGACACACTTGTCCACTGCAAGACATGCTGGATGGGTACTCACTTGCACCCCCTCTGAAAAAGATGTCAGCTGCAGCAGCCTCCTGGGGATACTGGGGTTGGCCCTCCACTGAGATTATTTCTCTTCAGACACACATCAACTTGCAGACAGTAAAAACTGGCAGGCACTACTGAGCTGGGCCCAGCAGCTGGTTGGGCTCCCAGAGTCTGTTTTAGGGAAAGGACTTGTTGAAAATAATGACCTAGAGAAGAAAACACAAGTTTCTCATTCTTCAGTCCGCCTCACTTTGGACCAGGTTAGAACCATTCCTCAACTGGAGAAGGCTCTCTATCCAATTTCCATGTAACTCAAGCCAGGCAGTCCCATTTCCTTTTTCTGGCTTATGTCCTCTGCATCCAGAACTGCTTTCCTATTATTCTCCTTAGGGCCCCATGCACGTCCTTGTTCCTCAGTGTATAGATCAGGGGGTTCAGCATTGGGGTGATGAGACCATAGCAAAGTGAAACCATCTTGCTCTGGTTATGGGGTTTGTTGGATGGGGGCTGCATGTACATATAGGTGGCTGTGCCATAGAAAAGTGATACCACCATTAAGTGGGAAGTGCAGGTATTAAAGGCCTTGCGCCTGCCCTCAGCTGAGCGGATCTTCATTACAGCAGCTCCAATATAGCCATAGGAGACTAGGATAAGGCCCAGAGGCATTGGTAACAACACCACAGAGGCGACAAGCCGCCCAATCTCATTGGTGGAGGTATCGGCACAGGCCAGTTCGAGAAGAGCTGGCACCTCACAAAAGAAGTGGTCAACCCGGTTCCGTCCACATAAGGGCACGCGCAGCAACAGGCTAGTCTGCACAAGGGAATTGGTGATGCCACTTAGGAGGCGGTGGTTCATGATGCTGGTGTAGCGCAGGGGCTGGCAGACGGCTGCATATCGGTCATAGGCCATGACTGCCAGCAGGACACACTCGATGGACCCCAGGCCAAGGAAGATGAAGAGCTGCGCCACGCAGCCGGCCCAGGAGATGGTCTTGAGGGTGCTCCGGAAGTTAACCAGCATCTGAGGCACAGTGCTGGTGGTGTAACAGATATCCAGGAGAGAGAGATTGCTGAGGAAGAAGTACATGGGCGTATGGAGACTAGGATCCAAGCGTGAAACCACAATAATGGCCAGGTTCCCCAGCAAAGTCACGATGTAGGTTATCAGAAAGACCACAAAGAGCAACTTCTCCAGGTATGGCTTGTCAGAAAGCCCCAGTAGGATGAACACTCCCTGGGAGCTCCCATTGCCTCTTTCTTCCTGCTGGGAGAAAGGACAAAGGTAAGGTTGAAAGGAGCAGCTGTAGAGCGGAAGGGAAATATTCACCGACAGCTCTGTGTTTACTCAGAAGGGATCATTCCCACTTGTGGCGTTTTACAGACTATCAGGCCCAATTGGTGCGAGCAGTGAGATCTCTGTGCGTTTTGTTACAGAAAAGTGGATCATAGAATAAGAGTTGTCACAGATCTCAGGGGTCATCTACAGCACATACCACATTGACGCACATTTAAGATGAGGTGCCCACCCCCAATTCAGCATGGAGAGAAAAACTTCTTGTCTTAGACTCAAGTACAAGCCAGGCAAACTGCTGTGGCTGTGGACAGGGTCAGCATGGCTCATGTGGCAGGCAGGGGGTGCATGGGAGAGCGTGGGGAAGGGGTGTATGATGTGTGTGGGCGTGCTTGGGGATAAGAGTGGCATGGGGGCAGGCATGGAGGGGATATGTGGGGGACAAGGGGCATGGGGCAGGCTGCTTGTCCCCTAGTCACTGCTTCCGCTGCCACTGCTGTTCTCTGTGACAGTGGTGGGAGGGATGAATTTAAGAGGACCCTCCATAATTAGATTCTAGCCAAGAAAATTAAAACAAATTTATAATTTTCCATGTCTACAATCTAATAATTGGGGGGGCATCTTAAATTCAGGGCTGTCTTAGATTCAAGTAAATATAATAATCGGAAAATGGGATCTATATGCCTGGCAGTGGATAGCTCATAGATAAATGAATCTGCTTTTATTGGTGGTAGACTAGGACACACATGCTGAAAAAGGAATTTCATAGATGCTAGGTTCATAGAATCATAGATGGTAGGGTTGGAAGGGACCTCAATAGATCATCGAGTCCGATCCCCTGTGTAGG